TGTAGATTTTATTAATTATTGCAAGTTTTATTAAATATTGTAGATTTTATTCATTATTGCAGGTTTTATTAAATATTGTAGGTTTTATTCATTATTGCAGGTTTTATTAAATATTGTAGGTTTTATTAATTATATCGTGTTAAAAATTAGTATAAAAGTTAGTGTTAAATAGTTTTAAATTAATTATTTTGAGTGTTAGTTTTGTGTAACCTATAGAGTGTTAAACCCAACGGAGGAACAGCTCGCGGGTCTACTTAATCGCGCAGTGTGTGAACATTTTTCGCGGTCGGGACAATCGCGCAGTGTGTATGGACATTTTTCGCGGACGGGACAATGGCTCAGTGTGTGTGGACACTTTTCGCGGACTTCTGTGGTGTACGTGCGTGTGCGGATTAATTTCATGGATACTCGTGGACAGGACAATTGTGATACGTGACAACTAGCGGGGGCAATAACCCTCTCTACTCGATAATATTCGTATGAAGATATTTACATTTCTTGCGAATTTTATCGAGTAATCAGAGTTAATGCGATACAGGTGTATTCGACTCAAATACCGCGGGCACAAGTTATCGACATCTTCTACGGGGTACGTAAACAGCTGTTCTACTGACTTTTCCTGCACGTCGTTGAGTCTTTAAAGTGACTGTACGCCCCTGATGAGCCGTGATCCGCTGACACTCCGTGCGCACGGATTGCCATGATTTGGGTCAATTTTTAAACGCTTATAACTAACAAACGAAGCATTTTTCGCAATTTCGTTATTCTTGATTTTCGTCTTATTTTGCCTCAAAGAATCACCCTTTAAATTTTTTCCCACGAGTTGTCGAACACTCTGTATATCCACCGAAAAAATGATTGCAGACGGACTAACGAAGGCCTTGACAAAGGTCAAGCATAAAGTTTGTATGCAGGGATTGGGATTGAACGAAAAGAAATAAAAATTGATAGATCATTTAATTCAAGAGTACACATTGAAGGGGGGTTTGTTGGAAATTTATACAATCAATGCACCCTCTAGCGCCAGAAATCTAACAGTCTATGTCTAACCAAAATATAGTCCCGTTCATAGCGTTCTCCTTAAGCGTGCTCACCTGTTGCAAAGTTGTAATAAGTAGAATTGTTTCTAGTAATAAAGAAACCTATAGTACACTAAACAGGTTGTGTAATTTAATAATTGCCCACTTGATCATCGACCGTTGCACATAGACTGCGCCAATTTAATATTAACAGATGTTCGTTATCATTTTGTACGAGATGTAAATAAATTAGGTGATATTATGATAGAGTATGTTGATACAGCACGACAGATATATTTGCCTTTAGTTAAGCAATGTTTTGAAAAATTAAGACGTGAAATAGGGATAGTAGTCTAAATAAGTGGGAGTGTTGAAAAAAATATGTAGACGGTGTACTGATAAAAACTGACAGAGAGTGATACCGGGCATATTGAGAGACATATGCAGTTCGCTGCGTAGCTGCCTTTGTAGCGTGGTGCGCTTTTTTAGTGTGGTGGCCAGCCGTGGGGTGTCCTATCGTTAGTCGTCGAAGTGTGATCGTTACGTCACAAAGGCAGTCATCGCGTGGCATTGTTTTTTCCTTTTTTGTAACTGTTAATTATTTTCCTTTATACTATAGTTAAATACAGTTTTATATATACTCAAGTAGTGTATATGTTTTTCTTTTAGTAGAATTAAGACCAAGACAATGGTTGCTTGGACAAAGCCAATAAATGTTGGAAACAAATAACGAATTTTGTTAAGGTAGGATGAATGTTTGAGATAATAGTATTGTACAAAGTGTACTGGATTACTGAATGATATTCCTAATACAAGATTTAAAATAATAACAAAATATAATTTTAAATAAATGTTTTCATATGAATTCTATTTTGACTTTATGCTTCAAAGGTTACATTTTCGATGAAAATAATTAAAACAGAACGAAAGGATCAGTATGATTAGATTATTATCATTTCTTTTTTAAACATTTCAGTGCTATTTTGAATGAACGAATATCCCACTGTAGCCAGTTAGGTATTAACGCAGGAAGTTAAAAACTAGCATTAATAAAAAAAAATATGACTTACCTTCACGGAAAGAAAAGCAACAACCAATGCTGCGACATCAGACAGCATGTGAAAACTGTCGGCTATTAAAGCCATCGAGTTAGTTACATAGCCCACTACTATTTCCACTAAGAAAAATAATGCAGTGAGCCACAACATCGTCAAAAGACGACACTTTTTTCCTGTGTAACGACCCATACTGTTTGGGTGTACCTAAAAATAATTGTAAAATTATGCGTGGCAGTACGGAAACAGTGTAATGATAATGAAAGTAAATATTTGAAGTTTTCATTTTATATTCTTTGTTGAGACGGAAATTGGGGAAATTAATAACAGCTCCGCTTCTATTTATATGTCTTCAGGAATACAATTATATTCGTTGCAACTTCCGAAATACAATTGATAACTTATTTCTTTTAGTTACTAAGGTAATACAACCTTTCTTTGTTCCTCGAGTAAATCATGTTCATGCCATGAAAAGTTATTAAGTACATATATAACTCTATACAACCATGGGAACAGAATGCAAACATTCACAGTATGAACATTACAATCTTTCAAATTACACGCTTTTCAAGCTTATGCAGTCTGCCGTTAGGGGTACAATCGAAAAAATGAACGTTTATAGTCAGGGATCGTAACACCTCCCCCCTTAGATAAAAAGATGTTTTTTATGAAAACAACTTTTCTAAAATTATATTTTCATTACATAAAGATTAAACTTTTGTAAAGCATTTACATTAATTTCTAGGACATTATGAACAATCAACTACATATGGATAGAACTTCCCACAGTAAAACACTGCCGAGCTTCCCTTCTCGATCCCCATGGTAGCCGAGCTACTTGATCCACCCGGTTTCCCATAGAAAACGAGTGGAAAGATGCCGCAGAAGGTTTACCTGAATTCACCGTCATTTCCATTTTATGTAATGTTGAATAATACATTAAATAATTAAGAATAACACAACTCTAATTCGCAAATAAATGAGATAAAGTAATCTTAATATTTACACATTCTAAACATTCAATAATTAAAACTAACTAAAAAGTTATTTTTAGAGTCTAAGAACCATTTTAGTTTTATTTAGTCCTATAATCCATAATAATTGGACTATATCCATAATAATTGTATATGCTCCAAGCCAGTCACAATCGAATTTAGAAAGTTTTGGTTCCTTTAAAAGATAAACATCACTTACTTCAAATTTCCGTGGTTTAATATTTTTATCATAGTATGATTTACTTTTTTCTTTGGCTTTTTCTACATTCCTTACAGCAGCAAATTGAGTGTTAGTAATGTTTGTAAGTATATGATCTAAATATTTTACAAAAGTTTGTGGTATCTTGATGACCACCTATGGCAGATTCATGAAATTCCTTCATAATGAGAGGTCTTCTAGATGGAAGTGGAATTGTAACTTCACCACTACAAACGATAATTGCATATTCTAAACTATTTAATTTCTAGCTTAAAACACTTTCGATAGAATCCCAACTAATCGGCTCAATATCATCATTGCATTTAGAGATACTGATAGTCTTGACACCTTCCCCCAAAGTTGGTCCTTGTGGTCAGACCGATTTGGCGACCCTGGATTTCCTGACACGAGCAGGTTCTACGAGCGCTACGATGTGCGTTGTGCGCCAGGCATGCGAGCAAGCAGTGCCGATGGTAAGGACGCGAAGCGACCGACGTCCTGCTTACTGGTGGACAAACGAGATCACGGAGCTAAGACGCAGGTATCTAAAGCTCAGACGGGCCCCGCAAAGAGCCCGCAAACGAAATCTCGACGTAGCCCCAAAGTCAACCGCCCATAAAACGGCGAAAAAGGAGCTCCAGCAGGAAATCAAGTCTAGTCAGCGCCAATGCTAGAGAAAACTAAGCGAAGATCTAAACAACGACCCGTGGGGACTGAGGTATAAAATCGTCATACGAAAGTTGAGGACGTTCGCCAAGTGTGCCCCTATGGACACCAGGACGATCCACGGAATCCTCGATGCCCTGTTTCCCACGCACTCAAAGAAAGCGGATCGCCCGGCACAGTCCGAAGCCGCAGAAGTTCCGTTTTCTATAGAGGCGGAACTCTTGAGAGCAGCAGGCTCACTGAAAAACAAGAAGGCCCCAGGGCCGGACGGACTTTCAACTCAGGTGCTAAAAGCCGTCGTTGGAAGCCATCCACGACTCTTGCTTAACATGTACAATTCTGCCTGAAGGCGGGCGTTTTCTGCTCCCGCTAAAAGGTCGGAAGACTTGTACTCATAAGCAAGGGATAGGGGCCACTTCTGGGGGCGTTTCTGCTCCCGCTAAAAGGTCGGAAGACTTGTACTCATAAGCAAGGGATAGGGGCCACCAGAAGCTCCATCATCATACAGACTTCTGTGCATGCTGGATACAACGGACAAACTCCTGAAGAGACTGTTGAGACCTCGTCTCCACGCCGCTGTGAAATCCGCCGGCGACCTCAGCGAGAGGCCGTACGGCTTCCGCAGAGGGAGGTCGACGATTGACGCTATTCAAGAGGTACTGGAGGCTGCCAGAGATACGGAGCGGGGGAACCGCTATTTCCGCCCGTTTGTCTGCTGGTAACCCTGGATGTGAAAAATGCATTTAACTCGGTGAGGTGGAAGTACGCCCTAAATGCGTTGGAACAGGACTTCAAGGTACCCGAGTATCTCCTCTGGATCATCGATGATTATCTAAAGGACCGCTTCATCACCTACGAAACGCAGAATGGCCCGAAAAAAAGGAAGCTGACGGCAGGAGCTGCCTAGGGCTCCATACTGGGACCGTATATATGGAACATCTTCTATGACGGTATCCTACGTATGGATATGCCCGAGGGCACTTTCCTGATTGTGTACGCAAACGATGTTGCGCCCGTTATCATCGCGAGAGATACGACCGCGGCACAGATGTGACTCAATCAAGTCATGCGTCACATCTGCTTCTGGATGGACGCCCACGGATTGAAGCTCGCGGTAGCGAAGACTGGAATAGTGCTTCTTACGAAAAGGCGCATCGACACCGTGCGCCCCATGCAGGTGGGAGACGTGACGGTTCAGATCAAGGCAGCTGTGAAGTACCTGAGGGTGATGCTCGATACCAAGCTGACCTTCTGGGAACAGATCAGGCGAACGGTGGATAAGGCGATGGCGGTGACGGCGTCGATGAGCAGGACCATGGCCAACATAGGAGGCCCACGGCCCTGCATGAGGCGACTCCTTATGCGCACCACCGAAGCTATCCTGCTGTACGGCGCCGAGGTGTGGGCCGATGCGCTGCAACACGAAAAGTATCGCAAGCGCCTCGCCGCAGTGCAGCGCAGAAGGGCCCTTCTGGTCGCGTGCTCCTACTGCACGGTCTCTGAGCCCGCAATAATGGTGGTCGCGGGGGTCATTCCTACCAACTTCCTTGTTAAAGAGCGACGATTCGTCCATCAGCAGAAGGCTGCTGTCGGCTTGACTTGTGCCAAAGATACTGCCAGCGCCAACACCATGAGGGTCTGGCAGGACCCATGGACGCGAGAATCACGCGGCAGATGGACTGCCCGCCTACGAAGGTTGACGTCTCTGTCGGGACTCCCCTTCGCCAGAAGAAAAATAACGAGGAGGCGCTGACCTTCAGCGTAGCTTTGACGTCATCGTAGTGATAAAATCAAACGGCCCCAGCCCGAAGTAATGTGAACGCGGTGCCGGGTTGGGTCTGGGAGTTGACATGGCCGCTGGCGTTTCGAAGGCCACTTCAACAAACTGGCCCCCGCGTAGGGGGGGTGGCGACCCTTTTGGGTCGCCTACTCCCCAACATTGGGGGGGCAGAAGAGAGGGTACGCCGACTCTATATAGGGGTGGTCCGATTGATGACCCTTTACGGGTCACCGATGTGGGCCAGAGGCCTGATGGCCTGCCGACGTGGTCGGCAAGTCCTCCGCTCGATTCAGCAGAGGATGGCCATCAGGCTGATCCAGGAATATCGGACCATCTCCCATGAGGCGGCTATTCTGTTGGCGGGGGAGATCCAGTTCGAGATACAGGGGGAGGCCGACGCCGATGTTTATCGGCGTCGTCAAGCTCTCCGCCTCTCAAGACACCTCCCAACGCCCGAAGTAGTCGAAAAATGGAAGCGTTAGTCCCGACGGATGGCCCGCGATTCGTGGCGGATGCAGCATGAGTTGAGCTGCGCCGTCCGCAAAGGGGCACTCAGGGCGGTCCTTCCATACCTGGATGCATGGATGGACTGCGGCCATGGTAGGCTGACCTACCAACTCACGCAGGTGCTCACCGGACACGGATGTTTCGGTGAGTACCTGTGCAAGATCGGGACCGAGGCGACGGCTACGTGCCAACAATGCGGCGCGCAGTATAACTCCGCGCAGCATGCGCTGGAGGAATGCCCGCCTTGCGCCGGTGAAAGGCGGGCCCTCCAGCGCGTAATAGGACGGGACCTCTCGCCGCGGGCCGTGGTAGAAGCCATGGTCTGCGACGAGAGGTCGTGGAACGCCGTGACCTCTTTCTGTATGAGGAAATCCTCATGGAAATTGACGTGTCAATTTCATCACTATTACATGTATTAAAGTAAGCATTTAAACTTTTACTCCTTTCAGTGTATTTTCTTAAAAATGTTATGAATAAATGTAGGAGATTCATAAGCACAAGCCATTTTCACGAAAATAATGAAATTCAAAAAGCTGAATTTCTTGAACAAATCCTTTCTCTTGTGAAATTGTACGATCGCACTTCTGCAAAACACATGTGCGTTAGTTAGCGTCAATGTCTTTTATAAGGCCGATACCTTATAGCTCAGGGACCGTTGTAGAATTTACAAGGGTTTTTAGCCTACGTGCGATCTTGAAAGAGGGTGCACGAGACGAAACAGACTTGGCGTTGCACAGTCACGAAACATCACGCTGGATCTTTCGGCTATCGATGGCCTACAGGAACGTTTATGTGAAACAGATGCGTGAAAGACATTGTTCCTGGAGAATCTGGCTGGTACCCTCGCTGGTAAATTTATGGGATTTCAAGGGTGGTTTCGAGAGAAGCAGTTATTGTGCATTGGTTTCTTGGCCGCTCGCATCTTGCATGTAGCGTGACGTAGGCGGTTCGCAATGGAGAAACCGTCCTAAATTGTCATTGGTCCTAAAGTATTCCCACCTCAAGTTTTACTACGGACTTTTGGGGGTAGAAGAAACTCCGTAGGAAAAATCTCAGACATTATCTCGTGACATTCAGTGACGGTAAAACATGTATTTGTCGCACGAATATTTTGGTATTTTTCTTAACGTAGAAACAACACATTTCTCTATAACAATAAATAAACGTAGGAGCAACACGCTAAATAACAAATCTATTTAAAGTAAATAATATGATTCTGACAAGTGAACAGTGTTAGTTACCGTACAGTGAAATAAACACCGTCAGTGCGTTGACCCTATCGCATTTGTTACTACGTCTTGCGGTGGTGCCGTAGACCTGCGATCAGCTGTGCACTAGGCGCTACCCCACCAGAAATCACTTGGGTTAATAGCAGCCAGGATCGACACAGTGACCTACTGACACATGTATGCACGCAGCAACTGAACTTGCTGGTCAAAAGGTTGATATTTTTTCAAATTTCAATAGCTGTTAGGTGGTCAGTGTTAGTGGCCGTGCAGTGACTTGACCGCACTTGTCAATACGTCTTTCGGTGGTGCCGTATATCTGCGACCAACTGTGCACTAGCTGTCACCCACCATAAACCATTTCGTCCGACAATGAGCAGGATCGGTACAGTGACCTACTGACACAGGTCTGCAAGCTGCGGATGAATTTTCCGAAAGGGTGAGTTCTATTCAATTTATTGGTGATTATTATTTTTTAATTTAAGGAGTCAAAAAAATCGATTTTTTTCCCTTCATAAATCGATAGTTTAACACCTTGAAAATGTCCTCCCAAAACCACAGAACGAAATTCAAAAAATTAAACCTGCTACAGCCGTTTTTGTTACGGAGTAGACGACGCAGGTATACCAGAAAGCGCGCGGCGCAGCGCGTCGTGCTCCGTTTCTCGGTCCGTTATAAGTGAAATACACAAATTATATTGGAGACGGGGACTCGAAGACATTATTGCAAAATAATAAAAAGTGAATGCGTTGGTCACGTTGAAAAAAGGATGGGAAGTCGCCTGCGAACTATCAGAAAATTTGCCAAACTTGGAGGAAAAGGAAAACGAACAGAGGCCCTTATTAGAAAACTGGCAAAGTATTATGGTTTAGCCATAAGAAGGAATTCCGAATCTGTCGAAGAAATGCAGAAGGCTATAATGGCCACTTTTTTTCATGCGATTTCCACCAACAAAAAACCGCTTCATCAAAACTGTTCCACAGGATTTGACTCGTGGTGTAAATGGCACATCGCAGAGGCTGCATGTGATATAAAAAAACCACAGACACCCACCTACACTTCATCCGGACATTCAAAAGAAAATTCTTCCACTTTATAAAGATTTGTCGCGTCTGGATTTGTTAGAAGGATGCTTAGGGGGCCATACGCAGAACGCAAATTAGAGTTTTAATTCCACCGTGTGGCGACTGGTACCTAAGCATCTACATTGCGGCTTCAAAATTGTTGAAATCGCTTCCTTCTTGGCTGCTGGACAATTTAACGAGGGATACAGTTTTGTTCTACAATTGATGCAAAAGTTGGACTTAGTGATTGGGCAACAATGTAAGATGTTCGCCAACGTGTACGACGCGCAGCGGCTGAAGAGACAACAGCGTCGTAGCTTCAGCAGTACCAGAGAGGCACGAATTGCAAGGAAAGAAAAGAATGGGACCTTACTTGAAGAGTTTGAGGAAGAGAAGGGTCTAATGTATGGGCCTGGTATAGCGGATTAGCATGAAACAGCTGTAAGTATCCGAAAACTGTTATTTATGTTCACCGAAAACTTTAAACGTGTTTTTCTCGAAACGACGTTTTTCAAATTGGCGTGCAATGTAACTCAAAAAGTATTCAATCGATCGAGTTGTCCTTTTACATAAATATTCGTGAACATTTTCTTCATAGAATGAACCTATTGTTTCAATGATATTGTTTAAATAAACCATTTTTTTATAAACATTTAAAGCCAAATTTAGCCGAAAAAAATTAATTTTTTCTTCAGGAAACTGTGACTTATATAATTTTGTTTCTATTAACTTATATTTAGGTTCATTCTATGCGTACACTCTTTAACTAAAGAAATCTTGTTGAATATTTGATTTCGGACGAATACAGCAGACTATACGTTGGACGCCGCGAAACAAGTGCGTCGCCGACAGAGTGGGAAGAAGCTCTCATAACTTTGTTAGTTGTCATCCTTTTTTAATAAAAAAAATTGTTGTTATAAACTATAATGTGGTAATATAACAACCTATAAATTTGAGAAGGATCGATTGAGTACTTTCTTCAAAAATAATTCCCGAATATTCCTCAATTTTTGGCGAGTTACACCAGGCTCCCCCCTTAACGCAAGCTATGACTTTTTCACGGCAATAATTCTGCAAGTTTCCGTACATACATTTTTCTTCGGGTTTCTTAAAGACAATTATTCGTAATCAATACCATTGTTGCCCGTTACTGAACTACAGATTTTTATGTCAATAACGAACTACGATCACTATTACATTACTTTTTCCTTAATACGTGATTTGAGAAGGATATTTACAAAATCCTTAGTCTCTATTTTCAAATAATTATTATTTTCGATTCTATTTAAAAAAATAATTGTGTATTCGTCTTTTTACGTTACACATGATTTTCTTACATTTATGTTTCGTTCATTCATCACTTTAAATGACAAACGAAGATGGTAAAAAGTTCGATTTGTTACGTTTTTCTTATTTGCTATTATACGCGGTTTCCTGGGATACATGCCGACTTGCTTGTTCGAAGCTTCATAGTACAAGCGTAGCCACCGCTAGCGCGGGAACTCGACTGGCAAACTCGCGCTCTGATTGGTCGGGGTTTATCGTTAATATCTCGTTAACAAAGCCTCAGATAATATTTTCGCCAAAAAAAAAATTGTTTCAAATCATCCCAGTAATTGTGGGGGCCCGCCGCACACACGTCAAGAAATTATATAACAATTTTTTGGATTGCCAAGACGTCACTTTTTAGTATAAACTACAAAGAATTTCTCCGAGAGTATACTTGCATGATTTTGTATCTATTCAAGTCACAATAGGACGAAAACTACACTAGTTTACAAAATCCAAAAAAATCTATGTAAACCAGCTCCACTATGAAATTCTTATGGAAGGTAGTCGCCTAAACTCAGAAATCGACGTGAGACGTAATTCTATAGATACTTTTTTGCGATATCGGCGGATTTATATTTTGGTAATTTTTTAAAAAGACGACCCGACGTTTTTGGCCGTATCTCGTGTTATAGTTGACTGATTTAATCGCGATAATTCTTAAATCAAAGGTAATTAAATTACATACACTTCTTTCCTACGTTGGTTTTCAATCGGATCAATAGGCTAAGTGTCTCAATTAGTGTGCCTGTCCCAATTCACTAATGGGTGCTTTTATATCAAAATAAGAAATACCAAATAACTTACAAAAATAAAGAAATACAGAATTTCTTAAATTAAGTTTAGC